GCAAACCGTCTGTTCTACGGGCTACTGAGTTCTGATGTGGTGTGCTCTGTTCGGTTCTGGGTGGCACATACTAAGGGACACTCTGGGAGGAAAAGATGCAGACTTGCAGGACACACAAGTCCCTGAACACAGGAGACTATCCTGGGCATGCTTAGCCCCAAGATGAAGGAGGTTCACGGCTACTGCCTTCAACCCAGATCACGTCACTCTCCTCATTACATTTAATATTGTGAAAGCTTGCCACCGCACTCAGAATAAAATGTGAATTCCTCCTATATCCAGCCCTGCCTCTCCTTCACCAAGTTCCAGCAAACCTTCTGCAGACAGGGCTTATCCTATATCCACCCTTTGTATGAAATACTCTTCAGTCTGCCTGGGATATTATTTCATAGCTGTCCCTTTTGCATCCTTTGCATGTCAGTTCAAATATCACTTCTCAAAGGGGCCTTGCCCCACCTCACCCTTTCCAAATTAGTTCCCCAGTTGGCCATTTTCTATCACATCACTAATAATTCATCTTAGTTTTTTGTTTGCTTTATTGTCTATTTCCTCCCACCATAATATAAGCTCCCTGAGGACCTGTCTTGCTCAGGCTACATTCCTTTTCTCTAGAATAGCACCTCCATATAATAGGTATGAAAGCAATTTTTTGAATCAGTCAGTTCAGGCAAAATAAATAAACTGTACATGAAGAACCTCTCCACCTCCCCTTTTCTTTTTCTGTATCTTCACCAGCTCACCACCACCATAAGCCATTGAACATTTATACGGTTCATTACAGCATTAAGAAAAAAAACACTTTTGCATTCATTATACTATTTGGTCAGGGACTGATTAGGAGTTAAGGGACAACATAGGTTGGTTATTACCTGCATTTCTATTTTTATAAATACAGACACTGAGTTTTAGAAAAGTTAATAAATAGCTTGATCAAGGTCCTACAGAGCAGGCAAATCCCTGCGTTCTTGATTCTTTCCAAAATATCATGCTATTTCTCATGTTCAGAAGAAGGCAACAGAAAAAACATGCTGACACATCAGGAGTGGGGAGACATAGTCAATAATCAGATTGGAAAGTCAGAGGACACCAAACTGTTAAGGGCTCTGAATGCCAGACCAAGGACTTCGCATGATATTCTTCAGGCAACAGGGAACCAAGGAGGATTTTGAGGGAAGTAACACAATCAGATAATGTCTTTGAGGAAGATAACTCTAGTGGAAATATTCAGAATGGATTATGAAGAATATCAATAACAAAAGAGAGTATCTCATAGTCCAAATGTGAAGTAATTATCGAGTAAGGAAGAGGGAAAGGAAAGTAGAGATATTTTGAGACAATATATGTGGTGGTAGCTGGGAGGAAGCAGAAAAAGAAGTTAAGGCCTGTTAGGGTATTTTTCAGTTTTGAAGATCTGAATATAGTTTGAACATCCAGCAACATCAGATTTGGTATCTGTAATTTTCAATCTTTGTATTCAAGGAATTACTATTGGTTCTGAAAAGTGATTGAAAATGTGGCCATCTACACAACTTTATTTCCTTACAGAAGATAAGACAGAACACAGGTTTTATTGTATGTTGATTTGTCAGGGAATCAAAAGATACAAATATGAGACACAAAATGAAGAGACAACTGAAAATGCAAAGATTTCCAATCTCTTAAGAACTGCTAAATACAAAATAGTTTTGGAAGGGCGTAGGCCTATTAATGAATTAAAGTTAAAATCGTATCTTAATTTTTCAACAAAAATGTATTTTAAAAATATAAATGCCTAAGATGTTTTTAAAATCTTACATATCTTTGCATTTTAAAATTAAATTCTTGAAAATACCTCCTTTCCAAAGTTAAAAGAAATTTGGCTCTAGGACAAACTTTGTTTAAACTTATTCAGATTTTTCCTTATGAACTACATACAGATCTCATTTATTTATAATTTCACTGAAATTTAGACCTGATCTATGGATGAATCATGCCCTACAAACTGTATCCTTGGTAAAATTAAAACATGAATTAACATACAATAAAATCTATAGTTCTATGTTTTCTGTAAGCAAAATTAGGGTGAACATGTCATCAAGAATGTCTGTCAGGATTTCTATATATATTGTATGTTAACAGAGAGTTTTTCTGGACTCTTCCAAGTGGGATTTTTATGGGATCCACAGAGCCTTAGTAGACTAGAATCCAAATTTTAATTCTCAGCAGGGATAAAGGAAATTTTCTTATTTTCAGGAGACTTTTTTTCTCAAAATAATACGTAAAACAAAAAATACTTGTGAAAAAATTATTTTTCTATTAATTCATACATTAAGAAAACAGTCTCGTTTCTATTTTTTCACTGCTGTATTTCAGGTATGTCTTAAAATGCTTAGTAATTAAGGGCATGACCATGTATTTTATTTATAATGTGTATTAGATACATATTATAGATAACATATATTACATAAATATACATAATGTATATGTATAATATATATAACCACATGACCCTAGGTGAGTTGATTTTGATAAAACTTGGTATTAGAAATTCATAATGAATTATTAAATCTATTAAAATTAATTTATCACATAATTTTGACTAGCACATCACCTCAATCTGGAGATGCATATGTGTTCGTAAATTCTGTTTAGAACTTTTGCAAGAGACAGTATCAGGCAAACTAAGCAAACTGGTTAAGATATATTTCATGTAATAACGCTGGATCCTTCAGAACGGATTACTATAGCAGGCTCAGGGACAGTCTGCAAAGCAGCAAGTTAACAACACATGTATGTCCATGAGCATGGGCACGTGCAGGGGTGTGTGTGTAATTGTAGCCTGGCATTTCTAACTAAACTAGTGACAGCAAGCTTTTATGACATTCTTCTATTCAGATGAGTAACAAAGTGAAAACATGTTATCTACTAGCGATAAATGGCACTGGCTTGGAACAGCCTAAGATTTTCTTTACAGAAATCCTCCACTCTTTGTACTGTATGAATTGTAACTTCCCAAATTAACATTTTATTAAAGTGCTAGGCAAACTTATGCATTTCTTATGGAATTTCATGTCAAATTTCTTTATTCAGGAAAAATTATAAAATAAATGTGAAGTGAAAGGAGAAAAAACTGTTATTCAGCATCACTGTGAAATTTCATTTTCTCAAAATACTTGACAAAATTGAAATTCTGTTAAAAATGCAAAGCATTATCTTTTCAACACTCTTGAAACTAGGATACAATATTTTGTAATTCAGTGAATATTAATTGAGTACTTATGCTTTAGGTACTGTTCGAGAAATATAGAAAAAGTCAATGACAGGTTCAAGGACATAGAGAACCTTAGGTAACAAAGCCAGAAAAACTTAAAAACTCTAGTCAACTAACTTAGATGCTCATTTCACTACTTTGTTGTTTAGTCTAACTCATTTATTCCTCATCAGGCCATTTAAAAGGTTTTTATTTCATATTTCAAAACAATTTTATTAAAAAACCCATGACTTTCAATGAAATTATGACACCAAAGTTGAGCATCATTAAATTAAAGCCAACTTACTTTTAACATAACTTTTACTGAATTCTGATTGTCACCATCGGATCTAAGTCCTGGACTTACAAGGAGAAAACACGATTTGAGGAGTTTTAAGATAAGCTCTATCATTCATTTTAAGTTGCTCAATTTAAAAATTATTTCTTTCTAGTAATTTCTATTATTTCTAAACAATACTCACAACCATGTTTGTTATTTTAATAAATAAAAGTTTACAGTCTACTACTGTATTTTTAAATGGTCAGGTAAAGTCCTCTTCCAAGGGACAGCTTAGTCACCATATTACCTATTATTCAATGCAGAATAAAAGGACTTTTCCATGGCAATAGTTAAAACAGATTTATCAGCATTTTTAACTCAGTGCCTGCCTGAGGTCAAGTTACCAGAAGTATCCAAATGTCATATTAGAAGAACCCTTATACCTAATAGAGAGTTATAGGCATCTGTTCAGGACCTGACGATTTTAAAAATAGTTTTATTAAGAATGTAAGAGCTGGCATGTAATTGGTACACCTCTTACCTTTTAATCACACACACACAAAGTAACTACATGAAATTATATTGTGTCTCTTACCTAAAGAATGTGCAGCTGTGGTTTTTGAGCTGAAAAACCGGCCAAGCCCAAGATCTCCAAGTTTTACCACCCCAGTGGCTGTAATGAACACATTAGCTGGTTTTATATCTGTGAATAAATGAAGGGATCAGGTGAAAGATGATAGACATTTTAGAAATGTTAAAGGAATCAATAGCTACTTTTCATGACAGAACTTAAAATTTATTTTAATCATGAAGGTCTGAATTATGAACCAATTACTTTATTTTGAATAATTCTGATGTATCCTAATACCTAGAAGTTCTCAGTCTTCTGATAGATGGATAATCATCAATGTAGCATGATGAACATGATTATTAATTTCTATTTCAAATGCATTTTGTTTTCCATTTTCAAAAACCCTTTTGTGAAATTCAAAGCACAAAATACATGTGTCCTTTTGATATCAATTTTAAATAAAATATCTTACTAAAGATTAACTTGCTGGTAGATTTGCATAAAACATAAAACCACAACAACAATATTAGGCATATAATTATTTACTTAGATGGCTTTAAAAATCCTAATTGCATAAACAAATTGTATTAAAATTTTTCACATTTCAGTATCAGTGGATCAATTACTTATTGATGTAACCTAACATACTCTGCTTAATCACTTGATAATCAAGAATACTGAATTAATACTGAATATTAAAAATCTAAGTGTTTATAATATACATTATTTGAAGAAGAAAAAAACTCTCCCTTATATGTATATTTGACTGCTGTTTTGTCTTTACCAACAGCATCTTACTGGTTAGTAAGATGCTCAAAAGTCAATTAATTTACATTCTTATTTAAAACCAAGTAGTGCTTTATTTAAAGGTTTAACATTCTAACATAATTATAATTTGAAAATAATTCCCTGAAAAAGTATGGTATTATGTAATGACTGGAAGATGTTTATTCTGAAGAACTTATATCATTTAAAACAAGATTAAAAGTTCTTAATGATTTTATCTTACCTCTATGCATGACTCTTCGAGAATGCATGTGTTCCAATGCGCTGCAAAGCTGAACAAAGTACTTCCAGACAGTTCTTTCAGGAATTAGCCTCTTTTGCTTCTTAAAATGCTTTTTGAAAATTAAAAATAAGAATTATAAAAACTAAAATTTTTCAAGACTGAATTCTGACTTGCAAAAATACATAAATAAAAAAAATCTAATTTTATCTACTATTATCAACTAAAAAGCATATGATCTCTATACTGAAATGATTCCAAGAATTTTATCTGACATAATGGCTTAAGTTTTTTCCTATTATAACTAAGGTTAGCACAAACTGTGTAACAGTATGTTTTTGTCATGTCCCTCTATTTCAAAAAATTAACATCTATATAAAATACTTTCCTGTCCTAAAAGGAAGATGTCAAACCTCATTTTAAGAAAAGCCAGAATAAAAAAGTCTAGATACCTATAGGTAATTATGTTCATTAAAAGACAATTCTTCGGGGCGGGCACGGTGGCTCACGCCTGTAATCCCAGCACTTTGGGAGGCCGAGGCGGGTGGATCACGAGGTCAAGAGATTGAGACCATCCTGGTCAACATAGTGAAACCCCGTCTCTACTAAAAATACAAAAAATCAGCTGGGCATGGTGGCGCATGCCTGTAATCCCAGCTACTCAGGAGGCTGAGGCAAGAGAATTGCCTGAACCCAGGAGGCGGAGGTTGCAGTGAGCGGAGATCGCGCCATTGCACTCCAGCCTGGGCAACGAGAGCGAAACTCCATCTCAAAAAAAAAAAAAAAAAGACAATTCTCCTCCTGACAGAAGGTTTCACTAACAGAATTCCTTTTAAATACTGAACCACCCTGGTGATCTGAAATATCACAATGTATTAAAAATTAAATAAATAAAACGAATTTACAAAAAAAAGTTTTCATGAATATTTCTACTGCACAATGCAAGCTTTGCTTTGAATGAATGAAACTAAGCTCCATGGAAGCAAAACCTTACAAGAATGCCCAGGCAAAAAGCTGAGAGCACCAACAGGCTACTTAGGAGAGTGGACCTTGCACATAAGAGAGCAAATACTACAGTAAATGTAAAACCAGAGGTACTTATTTATGCTCATTTTTTCTGCAATAAATCTGTTAGAAGACTATACTAACAATACATTCTTTCCAGGACAAAGTTCTTAGCTTCATAAGACTTAAAATGATTCAATACATAAAAATTATTTTTCAAAAACAAAATGCAATTGGTTTCCCATTTAACAATACTTGTAATTGATCAACATGAATACTGCATTTTAATTGGTTTCCATATAATTTTCTGATAGTTTTAACTGTTTTAAAATATATATAGATAGTAAAATAGTACTAATATGTACTTTAATGCAATTTGTCCAAAGACACTTTGAGAAGTCCAACTAAATTGATTTTTTGTTATTGAATATGGAGAAACTATACTTGAGCATATTCTAAAATAGCTACCTTTCAATTTTTATACCTGTGACCAGCTGAGGGCAGGCTGAATGGCAAAACAGTACAAGGAAATCTGCTGATATCTCTACTTCACACTTAGCAAAAGATTCTATCTACTGTCACATATACACTCAATGTATGTACCAAAGGATAAATCCTTAAGAAAAAGCTAATAATCTTACGTTAATCTTTCTTACAACACATACTACAGAAATAAATTTATCAGTAATTTCAATAGCTATTACACCAGTAACATTACACTCCAAAGAATAAATAAGAATTAAATTACCAGATAATTAAAAAGCAAATCAGTGTCTTACTAACATGTTAGAAACCTCCCATATCATGTTTCAATACTAAGTATTTTTAATTGCAGACTGTGTCAACATCAGTTTTCATTCAAAGGGAGCAATGCTGCAAAATCAGTTCTTTACACATAATTTTCTTTCAGATTTGGAATGAGTCCAAATAAACCCTGTATATGTGCTCTCCCTGACGCTGCATTAGCATATCAGAGGACTGTTTGATGTCAACAGGAAGACGGCGACCAGGTTTCTTTTCATTCAAAAACAAATATACCGTATCAGACCATGAAAACAACTTTTTATGCTTTAATACAAATTTTGAAATCATAATTATAATGTAGTTGGCAGTTTACTTTTTAAATACCATTATAAAAAAGAAATCAAATCTAAAAGAAAAGGCATAATTTCATAATTGCCCCCAAACTGCACAATAGGGAAGATGTTACCAGATCAATATGATCTGATTATTTTCACATTTCTGTATTCTTTGAGACTGTCACTTACAAGTTAAAAATGGTGACTTATACTGAATTCAATATAATGCTACTCAGAATGACCTGGTTAGAGTTAAGCATCTAAATTAGTTATAGGCCTTGGAAGAATAACATGACTTCGCTTTTGTCATAAAATAAAGGCAGCTTCATTATACCATTAGTATCTCTCATTATTTTTAATGTGTCTGTTTAAACATATGTGGTTTTTAAACCATTCCTTAAGTAAAGGTTTTTCTGGTTTCTAGTTTCTTTTTCTTTTCTTTTTTTGAGAAAACCAACACTTACAATGAGAAAAGCCTGTCTGTTCTGAGGGTGGCACTGTTGGCTGCCTCTTAAACGAGGATGAACAGCAAAAAGGCAATGAAAATTGGAATTCTTTTTACTATGGATAAAGTGTATATTAGCACTACAAAGTGGGAACTTTCATAATGCCAAAGAATTAAAAAAAAAGAAAGAACAACTTTCTGTTAAAACTTATTCCAATAAACACATATCTTTTTAAAAGTTAATTCTTTAGCCAAAGAGCATTATTGTTTGAAAATTCTTTTTTCCCTTAAAAAAGGCAGCCCTATATAAATGTTTAGCTCTGATTAAAAATCTAATGCCAACATGTAAAAAGTAAAAAAGGTAAGTATATTTGTTATATAGTAAGTTTTTAATATAGCAATAAATAATGTAACCAATACATTTAAAAGTTGGTATTGATATAAATATTTATATGAAAACGAAAAGAGTATGTGACAGGGCACTTTTACCATATTTATGCTATGATAGAATTACAACTCTTTAATAGTTAAAAATAAAGTATCTAAAAATTTATGGGCAGGCAAAAAAAAAAAAAACACCCAGGCATAACTGATCACTTGGACATAATTGTGCTTAGTCTTATTTTTTTAAGTAGGCTAGTCTTTTCTCTATGCAAATCTTCAAATCCTATTTACTTTAGAAGCAACTTTTCCACTTTTATAAAAATTATTCAAATGAATACTAGACATTATTCAAATAGAAAAATCAGATGTAACAGAAAGCTAATCAATTTTCATATAAAATGTATGTATATACAAACATCAGATTATATAATATTCTCACTTATGTGTAAGAAGAGCATCAGCATTTCCTTTAGGTGAAATTCAGAATATCTGGTAAAACACATCTGCATCACCATCTAAGTGATTTATATTAATATAAAAAGGGCTAGCTGGTGCAAGCTGTCTCATTTCAAATATTCTTTAAAATTTTTTTTAAATCTAAAAATTAAATTTAAAATTATTAATCTCCCAACATCCTCCTACAAATTAAATGACCAAGACCAAATCCAATTATATAGTGGACACTGAATACCTAAGTGCCATTTTTGACCTCAATTGGTTAACTTGGTTCCTGCATTCTAGACACTACAACTCCAAGTAGCATATTCACTGCTTATTTCTGAATCATACAATTCTAATATTCTCCCTGTATTATGCAGGTCTGGCACTTGGTTTAAATCTCTGTTACTGCCACATCAAAAATTCTGATTTTTAACAAAAGGACTTGCAATTGTGTAGTCAATCAAGGGAGGCATGTACTAAGCATCCTTTAGAAATATACTGCTGTGGTTAAAAAAATAAAAAAAAAAACAAAAAAACAAAAAAATGCAATCCTGGTGTGCAAGGTGTTTTTGAAGAGGATTAGGAAAAATGGTAATTCCTAAATTATCATTTCTAATTCCTAATTAGAAATTCCTAATTTCCTAAAAATGATGAGAAATAATGACGTTATAAGAGAAGTGGAATTACAGGCACCAGCTGCTCACCATTTCTTCCAAGTATCTAGTAAGAGGAAGTAAGTGATTTATGTTAAATATAAGGAAACATTTCCTGCTTGGAGTGTTGTCAAATGTTTAAATGTGCCACTAATACAATCCATATCCATCTTATAATAATAGACCTGATTATAAGGTTTGACAGTAACTGGTTGTGTGACCTTGAGTAAGCCACTTAAGCTTGATGGGTCTCAGCTTCCTCACTCTATTATAAAGAGTTGGGAGATGATCTATTGAGTCTCCACCATTCTAAAATATAATCTGTGGGTCTACAGTCTTAGTTTCAAATAAAACAGAAATAATAAATGTCTGTTTGGCACATTTTTTATACTTAAAAATAACAGTTTCTTGATATGACTTATCTTTCATATATCCAATTAATAAAAACAAAGCAAAAAAAAAAAAAAAAGCAACAATAAAATACCTCAGAGATCCCTATTGGTCCATTTAATACTATAAAAGGTTTTTACATGAGATGAAAAGTAGTTAGAGTTCTTTGTTTATAAGCTTGTAATTAGGTCAAACATTTACCATCAGAGGGGATGTTATGTTTCCAAACATTCTTTGTAATTATAATGCAATTTTATAAGACTATACATTGCTGTGGCTATTTCAAAGAATTAAATGCACAGAGAGTGGGTGATGAAAAAGGATGCTTCTGGAAGTATAATGGACAGTTTTGAGTGTAATTTTTATTATGTATTAATCTTTCTATGGAAATACTTTTCTTTGGAAGGTATAATGAGGTTATCAACAAACTTAACTTCAAATATCTGCTATACATAATTGTGGGAAATTATATAAAAATTAAAATTTTGGTATTTAATACTAACTTACAGTGTGTAAATATTTTCTCTCTTGGCACTCTGAATAAAATTCAGATACCTTAAGTTGCATTAGAAGGTGTAAAGTAGAATGGGCGTGACAGTCATGAGACCACTGAAGGTACTCATTACTAGCATCTCATTTTATCTGCCTATTCAGGGCCTATTAGCCTTTGTCTTTTCCTGCAATGTTGGAAAATCTATTAAGAGTGTACTAAGCT